CTTCTGGGGCAACACACTCCAGGACACAACATTGCAAAAGACAGAAAATAAATTAGAAATTGCACCTCTAACTGAAGAAGCAACTCTGACAGTAAATGATATTTTTACAAGTTAGTCCCACTGAAAAAACTAAAACAAAAAGGTGTATTTAATACAGGAGAAGGATGAACAAGTCAGATACTGAAGTTGAAAACCACCCAGACTACCAGAGTTAAATACCTGCACTTGTACAAAGAATGTCATGGGATTCTTTAAAGATTAGTTCAGAATGCAAGTTGTGCTTTTCATCTACAACAAGGCATCTGCACTAAACAGAGGCTGGTGTTAATTTGACTTTACCTACCCAATTACTGAATGAGACCAACCCTATTCTTCTTGGGAAAAATAAGAGAACCCAAGCATCCAGTAAGAGAATTACTGAAATGCATTGATTCTTCTGCCAGAATTCCTTCTCTGGGGAGGTCATTTTTAATGGATATTATTAATTTTTACGGATACTACTAATTTGGAACATGTTACTATGAAAAAAATGCAAATTTGTCATCTAAAATTTGGTGGTTTCTGGTGTAGCATAGACTCATTGTAAAAGCAAGATTTAAAAAAAAGCCAGAGAAACATTTGCTTTTCTTTTTTGTTTTTATATTCTTCTGAAGGTTGCCCGTGTCCCTAGGCTTTACCCTTTTCCAAATCTCCAACATACTACTCTTCCAACCTTTTGGCCCATGTTCCCAAGCCTCAAATTAAGTTGCTTCTACCCATCAGGCTCTAAATGTTCACATCAACTTCCATCATGAACTCTTGGAACCAAGGCAGTCACCCAGTCAAAGACTCATCAGTACCACAAGTGCCACCACTTTCTTTTCCACTATCCCTTCTTGCCTGAGGAACCCAGGAAAAAAGACCCTTCAGGTCATAGCCAACCCCCATCACATGGGGAGGGGTTATTTCTATCTGAAATGCTCACCTTTTGCTGTGACATTACCCCATGGCCCCTCTCTCTGGATAAGCAAAAGGAAAGCAATGAAGAGATGAGACCTTCCTGAACCTTCTCTTGAAGTGTTTACTTCCCTTCACCTCTCATCCTCCCTATCAGTCAATGTATTCCTCTTGTATTTTGCCAGTATTTACATTTTTACCCACATCAGTACTGAATATTTTTTTTAAACAGTAATTCTTAGCATCTAAACCCACTGTGTTTTCAGCTCACCAAGCTAGTGCAGTTTTTATAATTTGATTGCCTCAAGTTAATTATTTTAAAAGAAACAGCTTCCAACATTTTTGATGATTTACTGAGCTTGGAGTCTTCCAGTCTGGCATCTAATGCTCACAATGTTTATCTGAATATCAAGCCATGCTTTAAAATCTATATAATAGTGTAGAGGAAACATCACAGGAAATTGTTTCTATCCTCATACTACAGTTAACTTGCTTCATAATAATATGGTTCACAACTTACGGTTCATTTTAACAAATCCCATAAAAATACTCTGATGTGCTCAAGTCTCTATCAGCTATATGAGTTAATGATCAATTCAACAAAAGACATCGATAGAATAGTTTAGAATCTGCAAAGTGGATAAATACAGAAACCCCTGTGAGGATATTTGCTGTTTACTACCTTACAATCCCAAGGGAATGCGAATGCTGCATGACACGAAGCAAGTCATCCACACCTCTTTTATTCACTAAACTAGCAGCATTTTTCCTTTCAGATGCTCAAAAACATTTACTCAGTAAGGTAATTACAGCAAAAGAGAGCAGCTGGGGGCCAGAGCATCTTTCTCCATGTACAGCTGTCCTGAATGCAAGCTCCTTCACACTGCAATGATCCTGGCATAAGGAGAACTGTGTATGGCTGGAAAGCAGAGGGTGCCGACTTCTGTAACCTAGGACTAACCATGCAGGGGGTTGGAAATAGATGATCTTTGTGGTGCCTTCCAACCCACACCATTCTATGATTCTGTGAATGACTGCAGGCTTTCAGATTTACATCCTGTCATACAGGAAATTTGTATTTCAGACTTTAATGAAGGAACCCCATACCACTGCCCTTCTGCTAACAAATCAGAAATAACAAATTAAATTAGTGCAAAACAGATTACAGCATAGTTCAAGCACTAACACTTCAACATTTCAAACACTACTGTCTTCCCAAAACAGCATCATTGTAGCTTGTCACTTATATTACCTAGTGTGGTACAAACTCACCAATACTTCAATGGAATGCCAGCCTCAAAACCTACTCTGGCCTTTGTTTAACAGAGTGGTAAGGACCAAGTATCAGGACTCTTTGGGGCTAGGGAGGAATCTTCCTTACCTTTTGCCCATACAGCAGCTCTATACTGCTACCACAGTTGCTGCTTCTCCAGAGGTGGCTTTTCTGAATTTGCTCACTGCACTAGACCTACACACAAAAATGCAGAACCCAGGAGCCCTCTGACTCTTGGGTGTAACAACTCACTGCCAGGACAGAGCAACTATCAATGTGCCTAAAAGTAAGGTAAAAGATGAAAAGCTTTTAACAGCATATACTGACAGATACTTGACACTGCCAGGCAAATCAGCTCAAGTTAACTCCTCACAGGTAACCACATAATGGAAGAAACATAAGAATTTTCCTAAAAACTAACAAATAATCATCAGCTCCCTTCCCCTAATAAGGTTTCTTTTAATTTACTTAAGAACAAGTCATTTGAATATAATTGTTGACAAGTATTCAGCAGCCTGCACATCTGCCACACTCACAGCAGCCTCAGCTGTGCCCCTTCTGGGGTCAACAGTGGAAAAGAAGCACAACTATCTAAATGCCATCAGAAGTACCTTGGCAAACACAATGTATATAGGAGGCAGGCAGTGGCTGCCCTGAATTTCTGTGAATGTTCCATAAACAAAATAACTCTTGCCTTTGAGATAGCAAATGTAATAAATGCTTAAGTACTAACTGTGAATCTGCATCATATACATAGGTATAGGGAGCTTGTAGCCCATGTTGTCAGACAAGCAGTTTGCAAAGTAGCAACGAAAGGGAGAGAATCCTGCTTGCTAAGCCCTGCACTCCTATATGCCCCTCAGCAGTCCATACACATCATGTCTAGCTGTGACTCTAATTGTGTAGTCAGGTTTCCACCAGAAGGGAACCCAGACAACCGTGCAAAGATGCAGAACTCACAGCTCACCTCCTAGTGCTGAGGCAGGACACAGCCAGAGCTCACATGGGCCAGGAGCTTGCACTGCAAAGTGTCATTTCTCCAAAAGTAGGTTAGCTTACATTAACATAATCTATTCTGCAAAATTATACACCAGATTTTTTGTTTTTTTCCAAGACACCACCAACAGTGTTTTTCAGGCCCCAGAGTATATATACTCTTCAAGACTATTTTCTTTTGTTTAAAGGAAACTTTTTTTTCTAAAATTTCTAAAATTTTCTAAAATTAAAATTCATGTTTCTTCCCTCTCTACCAATGACTATCTGCCTTCCTGATTGTAACACATTAATCTAGTTATGACAGACTTGCTTTTAGGAAGGGTAAGGGGAGGGAATTTTTTCACACATGAATTAAGAGGATTCTTAACAAGAACTAAATTTCATCATGCAAATAAAGAGTTTGGAAATTCAACTCTCCTAGGATCAATCTTCTTTCACTTCTGGCCTAAGGGCTGCAGCAAGCTGAAAGCATAATCCCTGACATTTCACTGTACTTGCAAGACTGAAATGTTTGCCCTGTGGATAATGCCAGCACTGCAAGTAACTGGGTAGAAACTAATCACTCTGTATGTTTCATTGTAATTTAAAAATACCTAGAGCACCCCACTAGTACATTCACATAGCAGTATAAAATTGGTCTGGTTTGTAAATGGTTTCATCTACCTGTCTGTCAGCAGAGATGAAAAAGAATATTGATAGCGTAACCGGGCAGTTATGTAAATTGGACAACTAAAACAAATTCAAATAATCTCCAAGTCTTTTCTCTCCCCACAATAAAATTTATTACTTCTCCCTTCAGTAAACAACCTTTGGCAGCCACACCATTTTTTGCAGCTGTCATTAGAAAAGTAGTCAAAGAAAAGGCAGGATAATAGATTTTGGAACTTAGCACACACTCTGTATAGATTTTTATTTTTCTAATTACAAACAGTTTTTGATGTTATGGTTTTAAAGCTACTTGTTATGCATAAATCTGCAATTTGTTTCTAACACGTTGGTTGTATTTTGTAAATATTTCTCTATTTGATTTTTTATCTTTTTGTAAGCATAAAAAACCCGTAATATTTAACTTTTCCCTATAGCAATAATGAACAGTTTACAATTCCTCAGAGATATCCTGTCAATACAAACTAGACATAAACAAGTTTTAAAGTTAGCAGCAGTAAGTTTTGTAACCAAGTAAGCCATTTAAGGAAAATGGTTGTAAATACATGAAAACTTATCAAAGCTTCTTATGAAAAAATACTTTTATCCAAGAACTAGACTGCATAATTACACAATCAAATCTTACTTATACACTGATTTTAATTAAATGTAATCGGACTCATTTTATCCATGTATAAATTTAAAGCAGACAACATATTTGTCTCCAGTTTCTAAAATATCTCTTTCTTCTCCACAGTGGCTGATCGAACTTGCCAGTGAAAAACATTTTTAAGTGGGAAACTTGCAATACAGCTATGGTTTATTTCTGTCAGAGGCTGAATGCTGAAGTGTGAAAGAAACTCATTAAAAAGCTCTCACTGTTATCCTGCATTGCAGGGAAAAAAGCAAGAAAATACTTAATGAAGGGTAGCCTGAAGCTGCTTTCATATTCTGCATTTCATTTTACATTACTTCAGTAAGCAATTAAAAGACAGCAATTAGTCACAGAAACACTATTCGTACTGGTCATACTGGAAGATTAAAGATGTTAACACTTATTTTATGCTAGTATTATGAACATAATGAGGGAGATCACAACTAATACAGCCAACTAAATAGGAATGCTAAAATAAATAGAAGAATCTCTTACCTTAATCTTAAGACAAGGTTCACTGCACATGGAACATCACTATATTCATCACTAACAGCAGGTTGAGACTATTAAAGAAAAACACAAAATATTATAATGAATGCCAAAAGAAAAAGGAAAATATCCTGAAATACTTACCACCCTAACACTGCAAGTTAGCACAGAATATTTCACACATCCTCTCTCAAAAACCTTTTAAGACTTTCAGTAACACAGTCTAAAACATAGCTGATTTGGTAAAACTGCCATATTTCAATCACAGAGATACAAATGAGAAGGCCTATATTAAAGCACTGAGTGTAAAAGCTTTTAATCCACCTTGCATCAAAGCTCCAATATCTTATTAAATAATTGCACACAGAATACCAAGTAACTATTCACGTAATTTTTATGTGACAGTTTTGGATATGAAGGAAGTCTCACATCTACCCATCCGCAAGAAGCTAGTAACATATCAAAGTGGGAATCACAGCTCAGAGAGCGTCTTCCACAGAGAAAAATTAAGCATATGGATATCTTTCACACTATCACTTCTCCCTCTGAGTACAATACCCTCCCAAGACTTCAACTAAGTTTTATGTGAGGTCTCAAGAAAATGCATATCCTTGATACAGAGCACCTCATGGTCCTTTACCCTACTACGATTTCATACTCAAATTAGCACACTGTCACCACTCACAGAAGCCCATACAAGGGGTTACAGAAGAGCCCTCCCGAAATAAAGACTTGTATCACAAATCTGATTTGGTTGTTTTCCAACAGTTTTTCACATTAAAGCTACTTTTAAAAAAAGTGTTACACAAGATCAATGCTTTATTATCTGTGTATATTAAACAGAAGTTAATGATTATTTGGAAAATTATTTAATCCCTAAAAGGTGAGTAATTTTTTTTTTCTACTCCCACTAAGTTCCTTCCATTCATATAAACTACTACTATTATTTCAGCATCTTTAACAGACCTGTTATTTCAGAGTATTTGAATGTACGGCCCAAAGACCAAGAGGCTCACACCAAGAGTGACAAGTTGCACTAGTCTCAGTTTCAAGTCATCTTCTGGAGCATTTAGGAAATAAAAAATCAACAGAAGACTTAAAGCTAAACAACTCTTATTATGAGTTACTTGTATAAACTGAGTCACAAACTGCAGAACTTTAGGGCCTTGGGACTACTGGTTGAGGGATGAGGAGTACAAATGCTCTTCTCCTCTATCCCTCCCTGTTGCAGAGAAGATAACGAAAGAAACAAAGACTCAGCAGATCAATACCTGGCTCCAAGCCTAGTGTCACCAGGAGGATTTGGGTTTTTTTTGATCCTGGGCCAGTCTATACAACACCAGGCCTGCTGGCAGTCAACAGGGTACACTTGTCTCAAAGGTGAAAAGGATTTTTGCACAGGAGTTAGCAGGGCTCATTAAAAGAGCCTTCAACTCAATTTGCAAGGGAAAGGTTTAAAACCAGGTTCGCTAGAGATAAGCCTGAGGCATGCCATGCCAATGTGTGTGGGACAGTGTCCTAGTGAGGTCCTTTGGCCTGCCATCTCAGTGGAGGCAGCAGATGGAGAGCCAGTAATCCTATCAAGCAAGTACTTATTGCAGTGATGCTACACTCTCAGTACAAGGCCATGAAGCTCAATATGATACTTTATTCCTCTGAATTAATGTACTATACCACAGTACTGAACTATTTTACTGTACTTGGGATGAAGTATTTTAATTTCAAGGTACATGTGACAAATCCTAAAAGTTAAAAATTGCTTGGACAACTTCTGGCTACTCTGAAACAGCCGTCATTACTCTGACAAAAAGACAGTAATTAGTGTGATACAGCTATGAAGATTAATTAAAAACAGTCAAATTGCCTATTTAACCAATTCTGCTAGGAACGAACATAAGATGACTTTAAATTTCCTATCCATTTTATCCAGTGTGTGATCAAGTTAATTACTACAGGCCCAACTGCATACAGCTCTATCCTCACAAGTACCTACTATACAGAACAACACTTCCACCGCAAGTCACATTTTTAACAACAGACAAAGAAATCTGTTTACTCAAACACTTGGAACAAAACAAAACAAAAAATTAAGACATTTTTACCTCTGTGTTTTCCTCTTCTTTCACTCTTCGTGACTGGAAAACAAATGCAGTGAGATATGAGCTATGCAGCTTTATGCATTAAAGATCCAGTTAATGTGAAGACAGAGTATCTTGCAGAGTGTAAATGTCTTGACAAAAACAAAAGTTACCTTTTCCTGAGAAACAGCAGCTTTGCCTTCCTCACTCTTCTCATCCATTTCATCATCACTCCATTCCCAGTCTCCATCTTCTGTTTTATGAAGGTGTCCACTGGAACCTGGTACTCGTCTGACCTATCAAAATATTAAGTGCTCACCATTACACAAAAAGCTTTAGCTTTTAGCAGTGTTCTCATTAATTAGCAATTCTGTGTTATTTTTAGTCTCTATGCTTTCATTGGTCTGATGGAGAAGTCACCATCATACTGGAATAATATGTGACCTCAGGGTTCAACCTTGAGCCAGCAGGAACAGCTAAGCTATGCAAAATTAGCATAGGGAAATGGGATTTGGATATATTCTACAACTGCTTAGGAACAAGTTCAATTAGATGACAACTGTTGACTATGAACTAACCCTTGAAATGAAAGGAAGCTATTCAAGGAAGCAGAAGTTAGACAAGGTTATTCTTGGGACATTAGTAATTAAAACTGTTTAAAAGGCTTTAAAATGTGTAAAGATGTTAAGGACACCAAAAGTAAAATTTTCTTCATTAAAAAATAAAATAAAAAAGCAGCTGCATGCAGACTGAGAAGGCAGGCAAGGCATGTGCCACACCAAACTAATTGAGCAAACTCCTGTAGATCAAACAGTCTAATGAGACTTAATAAAAGTATCCAGTAGCTAAATCTGGAAATTAAATACTCTTATGATGCCATCTTGCTATTTTTCAGAGCCTGAAAACATGCTTGTTTTTCCTGGATCACGTTCTGTCTACTGGAGCAAAATCAAGGAATATCCAACAATCCTTCCCACACCTTGGTATGCTGAAAGCACAGCACAGTAAGCAGCTCCACAGGTGTTGTTCAGATTAGAATCAGTTTCTCTAATTATTTCACATTACTGAACCCATATACAGTCCCCACTGCACAACTTCAAATGTTTGTGTAGGTAAGCTCCCCAGCACTATAAATCTGTAAGGCTTAAAGCATATCCTTTTGAATTATAAAAAAGGAAAAAAGTTATTCAGGAAAACAGTGTGTACAACAAAAAGAACAAAGCACTAATGGTTCACAGCTCACAAAAGAGAGAAATAACTTGGTAGAAAAGCAGTGTCAGGCCAAAGAATTGCTGGAGAAGACACCTAATAAAAGTAACTTTTTTAGAAAGTTATGAACTTGATGGTCTTAGCTCAAAACTGTATATCCTGTTTGGCAGTATACACAGTAATACACAACACCCTGGTTCAACTCCGGTTTCACGGAACATAATAATCTACAACCAAAAGCAGTCTGTAGGAGGAAAAACTCAACAAGCCACTGACAATACCACAGCTGTGGAAGAAATACATTATGAACATCAGCTGCAACAGAGAATGCTTGGACAATTTTATGAGTGAAAAAATAATGAATTCCACAAAAACATGAAGCATCATATTATTGTTTTTGTTGTTGTATATGCTGTTGCTCGTTAAAGCTTATTCCAGTATAAACTAGTCACAAAGACTGAAGAATAAATTAATATGCTGACAGTACTATTTCTCATCACCCTTGCAAAGCAGGATACAGACAATTTTACATTCACAGCCAACAATAGCAAACATCAGCTTTTCTGGAAAATGTCTGCTTAACCAGATGAACGGGCAACTGTCCATCCCATCCATGGAAGGCGAGCCCAAACCAGCCTGACGGAAAGAGAACTCTAGCATCAGAATGCAAAAGCTGCCCACATTTCCCACAGTTTGAGGAAAAGCAGGTTACAGCAGAAGGAAGCAAAACACAAATTGTCATCTTCTTGCCACTGACATGCTTGCTCTATGTAAATGTTAAAGCTGGGAAAGAAGAATCTATTATTCATCACTGATTCTTTTGCTGCTGCAATGTCTTTACAAGTTCGGTTTTGTAGGATGACAAGGAAGGGAATGAACATTCTCTGAATTTTAAGATCTTTCTACTTCCTTATTCTCAACAACTCAAAACAGCAAAGAACTGGGCCCACTTAGAAATTTAGTATTTCTATTTTAGTGTCTAATTTTTAAACATGAAAAGTATATGCTACGGAATACCAATGCATAAAAGCATAAAGCATTGCTACAATTCATACATAGTACAGGACATGATTTAGACCACATAAAAAAAAATCTGTTCTTCCAGTAAGAGTAATGTGCATCTATTGTCTTCTCATTCCACAGGAAGATGACTGATTTTTCCCACTATCACAATTATTTAGATGATCTTTCGAGGTCCCTTCCAACCCTTAGGATTCTGTGATTCTAAGCTACTTCTACTAAGTCTCTGGCAACTGAATATTTGGGATGGAGTCTTGGGTAGATTTAAAACAATCTTTTAAACTGCTCCGTGAAAGAGTACACTGACCTGAAGGCAGAGTAAATAAGATGCATTTATGTAACCAAAATTGAAGGCATTAGTGAGCATTAAACTTTTCAGTAAGATGGAAGGTGTCTTTCTGCCCTTCATGTACAGTTTAGTTAGAATGAAAACATAGCTGATCCCTGAATTCCTGGAGAGAGGCACATGTGTAGATCCCACTCATTTAAAACACATCTGCACAAGTCACTGCTGTTATAAATTTTTTGCACTTGCATATCTACAGAAGGCAATCCTTATTTTTTATTTTTTTTTCTTTTAATCACACATCCTTCTGGAAATACTGCAGTCCAACAAACCAACTAGATTAGCTTTTTCTGGAGATAAAATTGTCTTTTTTTTTTTTACAACTGATGTCCTTCAGCTACACCTACTAGTGTTACTATTCAAGATATAAACAATTACATGTGGCCCAGAGAGCAGAAATGACAAGTTATTTGAATATCTCATTTTTTTCATTTACTGTGGTCTGTCCTAGTAATAGCCCACATTTGACTTTCAGGCAGAAAAGGGAAAGGCCAGTCAACTGATGCTGTATATGATTCCTTTCCCTAAGACTTTGGTAACAGTTCTTACAGGAGACAGGATCCCCTGTTACACATATCCCAGAAGTTCTTACAGAACAGGTATGTTGAATCATGCTTTAAAACGCCAATGTTACTTGGTAATTGACAAGAGGAGGTTTTTTTCTCTTTTTTTTTTTTAAATTTTGGTTTTTTGTTTTGCCTTTAAATTAGTCCTCCCAAGACCTTCACTTCTGGTACACCTTCATGAGAAGCATTTACAATGCCAGTTACCGTACCAGTTTTTTCATAGGAAGAAGGATGATGAGAAATAGGACATTACTGAACACAGTTTTGGGTTTAGCACAACATTTTGCTTTGCGTGTTTTTCTCTCAAAAAAACCCAGCAACACAGGCCACTAGCTCCATCTATATACATCTAAAGACTGTAGAGCAATGAGATTTTACAATTTTTTACTTAAGCCATCTTGCAAACCTTGTCTGAACGCTTCCTAAGATACAAAAGCCAATTTCAATCACCACATCTATGCATTTATTTGTATTCCTATGCAACAGAGGAAATCAGCCTATCAGCACGTTCATCCAAGTAACGGCACAAGCCTTTTGCTTACAACAGTTACACAGCTTACCACTTGAGGTAAAAGGCAATCCATGAAGTCACTTTCTACAATATATTTTCATGCAAAAGAACATCAGCCTTTTTGCATAAGAACACCTATGCTGTAATCACAGTTGAAAAATAAAAAAAAATTTGAAGTCCAAGACACAGCATGAATTCCTACATGTACACATCATCCTTTGTTCAAGAGTTAAGCCACTTTCTCAAGGGAAGGCCAATTTCCATCCAACACAGTTCTTACAGTTGTTAATTCCCTCTGCTGGCTAGTCTTAAATTCCCTTCAATTCATTATAATGTGAAATCTCACTTTTATTCTGATGCAAGCCACAAAATCTTTGCAAACCTGAGTGCTTTATGAAATTGTGAACCTTGTTTTTACTCACCAAAACTTAACGCAGACTATCATTTTTAACGGGATGTACCATTACCTTTCTAAAATAACACCCTGGCATTTCTGTTTTGTAGGACTAAAAAGATGTTATCACAGTAATTGGGTGCTGGCACCCCCTCCTCTTAAACTACTTTGCATACTGCAAATACAATCATGGGGAAAATCAAGGATAACAGGAAGGCTTTTGTTTTTCTCCTACTTGGAAAAGAAGTTATACAGAACTTTAAGTGTTTCATATTCATATGCAGGAATGAAAAAAAGGAATGCATTGGAGTTGGTTTTTTTTGTTGATTTTTTAATTATTATTATTTTTTTAATTTTGAAGTGCAGGCAGGCCTGCCTTAAACACTGTTTTGACAACCAGAACTTAACCTGGCACAGAAACCAATTCTGGGATCACTGCAACTGGTCTTTCAGAACAGACACTAATCTTAAACTCTCATCTCAGAATAAAGATCGTGAGATGCAAGCCATCACTTAGGACTACAAAGCCCCTTCCCTTTGCAAGAACTGTGGAGGTTTATTCCATTAAAGCTTTTGCATTATGAAGAGATCCAAATCCTCTGCTTCACTGCACACAACCACACGCGCAGAAACTTTCCCAATTCAAATAATCCATGTAAGCAGAAAAGGATAGGTAAGGCTGGACCTGAACCCTGAAAATTTGCAAGAGTTAGCATCCACCCCCCACACCAATTAATTGTTATTGCTTCTCTACATTGTATAACCATGCTTAGATTTTCTCCAAATTGCTGATGGAAAGGACACAGATGATTTAAGGTTTTGCAGTTCCTGAAAACCATCTTTAAATATTGCTGGTATGTATATTCCCTATGTGAAACAACATAACTTTTTGACTGAAAAAAACACAGGAAAGCTCCTAGGAAGCAAACAAGTGATTTGCTATGCACATCTCCCATGCCCTAAAATCTCAGTCTGAAGGGTTTGAATTTCAGTATGCCAAGGTGACCGTATTGTGGGAGGAGATGAAGTGTCATTAACACTTCAGGTGGCATGTCCTGAGTAAGTAAATGCAAGAGCACAGAATATTCTCTCATACATATCTGTTATCTCACTAGAAAGACACAGGAGCACCAAATCCTTCAATTCCAACTGAATTCTTCAATTCAAAGTCAAATGCAACTGGTGTCTGCAAAATATAGCAGCACAGAGGAAAACTTTTTTAATTTTTTAATTTAATTTTGCATTAGATT